AATCCATCGATGGATTAAGTCAGAACCCTTATGATCTAGTCCTCTCTACAAATGCCCTCACTGACACACCCAGAGGTATTTTTTACTTATTTCTAGATATTTCTCCATCTATTCAATTGACAAGACTGACATTGCAAATATGTTTGTAATAAGAGCTTGAGGTGGAATAAGAGAATGGTGGAGGGGATGAATTCAAGTATGATATATTTGATATGTTGTAAGAACTTTGTGAATGTCACAAAGTACCTCCAGCCCAAAATAATAAAAAATAATAATTTTCAAAATATATAATGATAAGAGCTTGAGACTTGTCTCAAACAAAAATATTAACATTACAACTACATTCTTCATATTTCTTCAATGAGATCAATGTGTAATCTCTCATTAATTGTTAAATTAAATCTTCAACTAACCAACACATTAATTTCAGTAAAATAAGATAGTTGTGAACACATGCATTTTCTGCAACTTCTAAAACCATATGATCTCAGCATAAACCAAGATGCTGATTATTTTATCAGAACTGCATTGCACATACTATGCATTTAAATAATTTACAAGTGAATTCTGTTTCAGATTATTGAAATCTGACAGTGCAACTGAATTTTGATTAGAATAAAATCAAGATAGTTGAAATGTAATATACAGTCATTTTAAAATGCAAACATGCAATCCTAATTTAAGAACTAGAAAGAGAATCCTAAAAGTTCACTTGTTAATAGCTACTTTGGTATGCCAAACACATTTTCTCCTGGAATCAGTATCATAACATGATAGTTAAGTTGCTAGGTTAGTCTGAAGAACCTGTTTACGCCAGTTAGTATTGAACTTTGTAATATTCATAGTAACTATAGTTTTTTAAAGAGGCAGTTAGAAGAAAAGCAGGAGAGTCGAGTATTGGCATCAGCAGTTATGGATATGATGGAAGTGGGTAATACTAGTGGGGGGACAATGGCAGGAATACCTCATTGGGAAAAGGAAGGGGAAATGCTTCTGAAACTAAGGTAGCAGTCATATAGTTTTATAAATCTGGACTCATTAGTCATGAGTGTACTTTTAAATACTCCAACTTGACATGTTCTTTTGAAAGGCTTATCAAGTAATACGCTCTTTAGTCAAACTTGTACTTTATTAGAGTGGTTCAGTTGCTATGACAACATATCCAGAATTTATAGCTCCTTTTGAGAGGGTTCATTTCTACTTTCTGAGACACTGAAATCCAAGGCTGAAGTTCTTAACAGCCTCCATCTCATTGTATGATGAATTTCTGTTGTTCAGAAAATTTAGTCATGCAAATGTAGCTTACAGAATAAAATCTTATGACTTACTCAGTATACATGCATTTTAAATACATATTTTCAATTTCAAAATGCCTCCACTTAAAAAATTTTATTGCTAAGCTATGTAATCATAGTTTAACCTGAAAATCATTCCAAAAAATAAGTCTCTTAACCTTATTCCCCATGGAAACATTTTCTAGTTTTAAATGGCTAATTTTATTTTGACATTTATCTCAAAACTCTCAACCATGCTTATGTGGCTCTTAGTTTGTATTATTTGTATTATTGATTGCTTTGTAGTTTTAGCTATCATCATTGGCTTCTCAATATGAAAGACAAATTTTCGTTCTTTGCCCTCTACCATTTCAGGTACATACTTCCCTCGTTCCCATTCTTCCATCAAAGTGATAAAGTTTTACTAATTTTGTAGCAACTTATGATACTAATTTTGACTTGATCAGTAGTCACTATATTATTATTACAACCATGTATAGTGTTTGCAGGTGAATTATGTGGCATACATGGATTTTTTTTGCATGTGATATTTCAATACTTATATAAAGTTTAAGGGTAACATATTTAGCTTTTCAAACATTTATCATTTCTTTATGGTAAAAACATTCAAAATCCTTTCTTGTAGCTTTTTGAAAAATATAGTACATCATCATTATCTGTAGCCACCCACCATCACCATGTAATAACACACCAGAGTGTCTTTTTTCTATATGATTTTGCTTAGTACCCATTGATCATGTTTCTTTCATTTTATTTTCTTAGAGATGATAATTATTAAGATTTTTTTTTCTTCTTTTTCTTCATCTCCTCCTCCTTCTGCTTAGTTGTCTGGGTAGTTATCACTAATTCGTCCTCAAAGATTTCCCTAGTTATTTAATCTCCTCTTGATATTTTTAAGTGTAGGTCTTATTCTCTTCTGAAAGAAATTTCCCTTGGCACTTTCTGATCAGTTCTGATCTGCACTACTGTTCTTTTAGTTTGCTACACAGCTCTCATTCCAGAAATTTTCTTTATTTCTCCCTTGTGCTGAATAATCTCTTTTCTTGATATTTCCTTTTTTTGTCTGATCTCCTGTTTTGCTGGAGCACATTCTCTAGTAGCCTCCCAAGACAGAATACATTGGAGGTAAATTATTTCAGTCACATATTTGAAAATATTTCTATTCTTTATACCTGATTTTTAATTTGGCCGAATATAAAATTATTATAAATCATTTTCTCTAAGAATTTCTAGTATTGTTGCTGAGAAATCCAATGCAATTCAATTTTTTGGTTTGTTTTTTTCATTTGTTTATTTGAGACAGGGTTTCACTATTTAACTCAGGTTGGCTTCAAACTCATGATCTTCCTTCTTCAGCTTTCCTAGTGCTGGGATTACAGTATGCAACCACCGTGCTAGTAACTAGTTTTTTTAACTCATGTTATCTACTTTAAGTTTAATTCCTATTTAAGTCATCCCATATTGATTTCTCCTTCTAGGTAACATGACCTCAAGTTAACCAAGAAATACTATTCCGTCTGAACTTTCTTGATTTTTTTTTTTCCTTCTACCTCACAATTTCTCCATCTCCTCCTGTTCTCAAATACCTTTTTCCCGTGCTCTTGATATTGTCACTCCTGGCTCTTTTAATCTTTTCCATCCCAAAGACAAGCTAAACACCCTCATTCTCCATTTCTCCTAGTGTACCTACTTCTTTAACTGCCTATTTATAAGCCTACCTGTTTCCTGAATTAAAAAGTAAATTTAAGCTTCAATCCCAGACTTCTTACCCTTTTGCAGTCTGTCCTTTTTAAAAAAATCTATTCATATAATTTTTTTCATTCCATTTTCTCATAACTTTGTTTTTGCTTAGTCATATATATACATATACCATTTTCTTTTCACAGTACTGGGATTTAAACTCAGGGCCACATGCTTGCTAGGCAAGTGCTCCACAACTTGAGCCACATCTTCAGCCCTGAAAACTGTCTTCTAAACAAAATTATCAACCCTCTTGACCATACATCTTGACTACCCTATTCCATTGAAACCTTTTTGTTTTATTTTTCTCCCCTAATTCTTGTCTTGCTTTTGTCTTATCTCTCGTTTATTCCCCCTCTGTTGTAGTTTGAACCTGAAAGATTCCTGGAAGACTCATGTTTTAAAGGTTTGGTTGCCAGCTGTTAGATTTTAGAAGTGATTGGATCATGAGGGCTCTGACTTTGTCAGTGGATTGATTCATTAATGGGCTCATAATTTTGTTTAGTTTTATTTTCTTGTGTTACCAGGGAATAAATCAAGGACCTTACACATGCTAGATAAGCAAGCATCTGCCACTGGCCTACATCCCAGCCCTAGACTCATAATTTGGTGATATTATTGAGACGTGGTGGAAATTAGGAGGTGGGGCCTAGATGAAGGAAATAGGTCTCTGGGGGCCTTTCCTGGAAAGGTATATCTTGTCTCCTTCCTGGCTGTCAGAAGGAGAGCCACCTCCTCCACATATTCTCCCTGCCATGACGTTCTGCCTTACCACTGCCCAGAAACAACAGAGCAAGTGAGCATGAACTGAAATCTCTGAAACTGTGAACCAAAATAAATCTTTCCTCCTTTAAGTTGATTTCTCTCAGGTATTTTATCCCAGTGATGAAAAAGTGACTAACATGCCCTTCCTGTCCTTTGTCCATATGACCCTTACTTGTGGGCTTCTACTTCCTTAGGCTGTCTACAGAAGAAAGCATCTAAAAGTTCATAGTGACCTACTGATGATCAAAGAGACTTACTGATTTTTAAGGCAGTTTTCTTGCTTTATTAAGTAATGATTTTTTAATAAAAATTTTATGACATTAATAAATTTTAACTTTTAATATTTAGGCAGGTGCCGTAAAGGATTATATTAAGATGATGCTTCAGAATGAGTCTCTTAAATTTCTGATTTTTGCTCACCATTTAAGTATGCTCCAAGCTTGCACAGAAGCAGTCATTGAAAACAAGGTATTTTGACATTTTTCTATAAAATAATTTTTAGAATGCAAAATATCATCTATATCCTTGTAATTTGAGTGGGTTTTTTTGCCTTCTTTAGGTAATGTTTTAAATTTTTATTATTTTTTACATAATTTATTATTAAATATTTTGCTTGCAAATTATACTAATATTATTAGGATGGTGTATTGTTTTCTCTTTTTACTGACTTAAGTTTTTTCCTCTATTCATTTTATCTGAATTAATGATATGCAGCCTTTATAGCCATAATGTGAGATATACCCCTATATAATGGTCCCTGAATGTGGCTTGCACAGAAGGAAGAAGGAATCCAGCCAATTTTAATGCCTAATTGCAATTATACCTCTTCAACTGCCAGGCAGTATACTCTATAGAAAATGATTAAGAGGTAGTACAGATTAATTTGAAATGCATGACCCATGTAATTTACCAGGCTAGCTCCACCAAATTGCCTATCTTTACTGCATTGTTTTAGACCCAGCTTAATTTCTAGTAGGTGAATGCCCTGAGTTCAAGCCCCAGTACCACACCCACAAAAAAAAAGCCATTGCTATTAGCACTAATGGTATAAAGATAAATTCAGCATAGACTTATCCTCATGTAGTTTAAAATATTAAAAATAAGAATTATAAGAAATTTAGATAAGATTTTTCTTGTATAGCATTTGCCAACCTGTGATCTTAGCCAATTTTCACTCTCATATGGCCAAAAAAATAAGCTGTAAAATATAAAAGATGGTGCATGGGCTTGTTCTAATTTTATCATTTACCTTTTGATGCCAGACTCGTTACATTAGGATAGATGGAAGTGTTCCATCTTCAGAAAGGATTCATCTAGTCAATCAATTTCAAAAGGATCCTGATACTCGTGTAGCTATCCTGAGCATTCAGGCTGCTGGACAGGTAAGAACATTCATGTCTGAGTTTCATAAGAAGATGTCATTGAGAAAATAAAAAGATGAATAGCTATAATCTTGGTTTGTAAGCTTGTAATTTTATATCCAGATATCTATAATAAGTACTCATTCTACTTTAGAGTGCTAGAATGTGTAATAGACAGAAGCCTCAAAATTATTTTTCTCACTTCTTCCTAAGATTTCAAAGAAAGAATTTCCAAGAATAGAAAAGGGTCCCTGTCCTTTTCCACGTTCTTTGAATTTGCATAGAATTTTCTCATACTTTTTTGACATGTTAGATTTTATTTAAAATATTAACATTGTACGAAATGTTCCAATCTCATACCCTTTTTTTACCACTTATCTTACTTCGTCTCATGGCCAGCACAAGCAGGTCCCTTGACCTGACTGGGAGCGACTGGGGATTGAGAAGAAAGACACAAAGACAGACATACAGAAAAGCTTAGGACCAGGTGGGTCCAGCACTACTGATGAGAAATGCTGGCAACCCCCTCCTCCTACAAGTGCATTTATTTATACAGCAAATGTGGGAAAGCATGGTAAAGGGCAGGTCAAGTTCTCATGGGTCCAGTTGCGTAGGCAGCAGGAACAGCGCAGCTATGGTATGTTGTTATTTACTGCAGACTATCCTGACTACATCAATATGCCCTGTTTTCCTTGCAAGGCAGCCTTGCTGAACCTTGCCTCCCCTTGTCTGGGTCCCTGCCTGTCAGCCAAGGGGCCCTTTGACAGAGCCGTGCTTATGCCAAGCTCTATCTCCACTGCCTCAGTCTCCCTCTTGCAAAGCAGCCTTGCTGAACCTTGCTCACCTTGCCTTCTCAGCACAAAGGTGTTTGACATGGCCTTGCACATGTCAAAGTTCTTTCTCAGCCTATTTAGTTACTGGTCTCCCACAACTTGGTTGTGGTTCATCAGAGTCTGAGAGACATTGTGCCCTAAGGGAGGAAAACTCTTTTGTCTCAGAACTTGTTATAAAATGCCATTAGTTTGTCCTTTTTAATCAAGGTATGTTGTAGCATATATGAAAATGTCACAATGAAACTCCTCTGTACAACTAATATATGCTTATATAATTGTTTTTAAAAATTACGACTACAAGTAAATGAAAACTCCTATTAAGAGTTTTAGACTGTCTCTTGTAGACAGTCCTTAGGTCCCATGCACCTTGTGACTTTCTGCTTTCTACTCCAAGCAACACTCTCTTATCAAAGAGAGTTGCTCAAGCTTCTCCCTCATATCTTCAGTCCAGGCAGCTGCCTGAAGAAGAAGGCACACTGCATGTCATTGTTAATCTTGTGACCACACCTAACTGCAAAGGAAGCTGTAAAGAGTAGTCTTTTTTTTCAGGTAGCACACCTAAAAACCAAGTGTTAACGTTACAAAGGCATAAAAGAAGAATATGTATTAGGAAAAGCAATGACAGTCTTAGCCAAACTATATAAGAGGGGATCCCTCTGGACTGTTTTTCTGCTACATTCTAACATGTTTTGATTTAAATGTCTAAGCAAGGACATTTAGCATAGGGGAAAGTAATTTAGCAAATGTCTGTGGTATCAACTTCATATATGCCAAAGATCTGCTTTTACCTAGCAAATTGATGCATATATGATTGCATGTATAAGGGAAACTCTAGGAAGATGAAGCAGTTCTTGAACTCACCAGGAGTTCTATCCAAAAGGAGGGTTGCCTCAACACTCCCTTCATATTAAAGTTAACTTCTAGTTCTATATCAGAGTATTTCAGCCATAAAGAGTATCATCAAGAAGAACTTAAAATTAGAAATGGAGTGCTCCTATCAGTGGAGGTGATTAGTAAAAGAAAACAAGACAAAAGAGTCTGACTATTAAAAATTTAAAATGTAATTAAAAAATAGATGACTGAAATTATGATTATACAGAATATTCCCATTTTATTTAAAGCTATATTCCTAAAGATCTTACATAATTTAAGACTTGTATACTTGAAGCCTAATATCTTCATAAGAATAAAGGAAAGTAAGAAGGGCTTTGTTCTTGGTGCTGTGAATCTTACATTATAGTTTAGCAGCTTCTTCGAGTGACCCTGATCATGCCAGCATATTTGCTCTTTGTTCTTGTATGGTCATGTGATGCTTTTGACAAACTTAAAGGTGTCCCTCTGGAAATACTACTGTTTATTTTCTCAGCATTATTGCTAATATTTTATGGCATTTTGGGTACTAAATAACTGCACAGTTTAATAACATTTGTTTGGCTCTATCCATGGTTTTATTACTTCTAACCTATTTTATAAAGTAACTGATTTTCAGTGAATTTTTCAACTTGAGAACTAATGCCCCATTTAATGAATGCTGATATAACTCTGTTATATGATACACAATATTTTAAGGTAAAATAACAACATACCAATTACAAAAGTCAGTCCCTAGAATAAGATTCCTGGCTTGGGGTGTGGCTCAAGTAGTAGAGTGCCGGCCTAACAAGCGTGAGGCACTGAGTTCAAACCCTGGTACTGCCAAATAAGTTCCAATGCATATGAACAACAGCATAAATTAGACCATATCATAAAGGATGGTAGAATTTCTGTCCATCCTCCCTTCATCATTTACTGTCATATGCTATCATAGTAAGGCTGACAGTTCACTCAGCCTACTAACTTCAGTGTCATGCATTTTTTACATATTTTTCACCTAAAAAGATTTGCATTGTTTCATATATTGATTATAAAACGACTATTTTATGTCATACTAGTTCATAAAAAATGCAATTGCATTAGATATATTGAGACATAAAGTAGAAAACTTCAGGGTCTTCAGAATATAACATGAGAAATTTCACAAGAAGGAAATAGCATGACTGGAGATATGATTTTCTTACTTTATAGCACAGCAGTTTGAATAAATCAAAAGGATGTCAGTGCTCTCTGCTTAGTTGCTATGGAGACCATGTGTTAGAAATTATATTCTCTTTTATAGTGTATTTTATTAGATTTTGCAGTGGTAAAGTAAATCCAGTCTTCATCAAAGGATAAAGTTATTTTGTTTATATATATCCATTAACCTGATTCTTGAAAAACTGAAGTGCCTTTAAATATTTGTATTTTTTGTAGTTCATCTGGCTATCTTGAAATAAGTAGCCTTTATTTGCCTTTCATGAGTTAAATCTTCTTATTTTGTCTTAAAATAAATGACTGATTTGTTTTTAAGTCCCTTAGTGTTCTGTTCTCCATTTAACATGTTCAGAAAGACTTTATTATATGTGACTCTTACATTCTCAATTTATTTACATCTCAGTTTCTTTGTTTTGCTTAGGGTTTAACATTTACTGCTGCAAGTCATGTTGTATTTGCTGAATTGTACTGGGACCCTGGACATATAAAACAAGCAGAAGACCGTGTTCACCGAATTGGACAATGCAGTTCTGTGAATATTCACTATCTTATTGCAAATGGAACTCTAGACACCCTAATGTGGGGAATGTTGAATCGAAAGGTAAAGCTTGAATTGAAACCAAGTTACCAGCTTCATTATTATGATCCTGCATGAGTTAAGAGGCTGAGTTTTAATGTGTTTAGGCAAAAGATACTTAAGTATATCAAGATAATGGTGATAAGTAGAGACCAAGTTCAGAAAAGTTTCCATTTAGTAGTACCCTGCCTGCAGTCCTCTATGATATGAGACATATGAATTTCTATGCATCCCTATTCTTTTGCAAATTTTACTATTTTTTTTTTTTTTTTTTGGTTCAGGGGATTGAACCCAAGGGCCTCACACACTGTTTCTAGTACTGTAGGAGCTAGAAGAATAGTATTAGCTAGCAAGAAACCACAATATTTGAAGCTTCAGTTCTCTTTTGTAGCCTAAGAATGAACCTTTTCCAGAAAGATTCTTGAGTTTTCAACTGATACTAGACAAAAGACACCCTGTACCCAGACTCTAGAAAAGTTAGAAATGACATTCTTTGCTCTGTTCACTCAGCTGTCCTTTCTTCCCAACCTTGAAAGATGTTTATAGAAAGGATTTGACTAAGGATTAGAGGATTTCTATCTTAGTCAGTTAGGAATACTACAACAAAGTACCATACACTGGGTGGCATATAAACAACAGAAATGTCTTTCTCACAGTTTTAGAGGATAGAAATGTGTTATCAGGGTGCCACCTTGGTCAAGTTCTGTTGATGACCCTCTTCCCAGTTGTAGACTACTGACTTCCTGTTGTATCTGCACATGGTAGAAAGAAAGCAAGAGAGTTCTCTGGAGACCATTTTATAAGGACAGTGATCTCATTCTTGAGGGCTCTGTCTTCATTACCTAATCACCTCCCAAAGGCTCCACCTCCTAATATCTAATGCCGTTGGGAGTTAATTTCAATATATGAACTGTAGGGAGACTCATGTACCCCATTGCATTTTATCCTGATACCCCAAAATTCATGTGCTTTCACATGCAAAATGCATTCATTCTTTCCCATTCATTCCTGAAGTCTTAGCTTGTTATAGCATTAACTCCAAAATCTAAAATCCAATGTCTCATCTAAATATCATCTAAATCAGATATGGGTGAATCTCATTCTGAGACAGAATTCTTCTCCAGCTATGAATCTGTAAAACCAACAAAGTTACGTGCTTCCAAAATACAATTGTGAGACAGATGTATAGGATACACATTTACATTCCAAAAGGAACAAAGAAAGGGTTGACTGGTCCCATGCAAGTCCAAAACCTCACAAGGCAAACTACATAAGGTATAAAGCTTGAGATTAATTTTCTGTGGCTCCATACTCTGCCCTGTCTGGGCACTAGGACAGAAGCACTGCCATCTAGATCCATAGTGTAGAAAAATCACTCCCCACACTGGTTCTCTGTGACAGCCCACCCGTGCCGTGGCTTACAGGTTCTCAAGAACCTGATATGGTTCTCTTTTGGACTGGGAATCACAACTCCAAAACTCCACTGGGAAACCCTATCCCCACATCTCCACTGAACATTAAAAACATTCTTTGAAATTGAGGTGGAGGCAGATTTGCCACCATCCCATACACACACGCACACCAGGCCTTGTGCATTTCAGGCCTGTGGTAGGAGTGGCAAACATGATGCTCTCTGAATTGCCTTCACAGTCCTTCTTCCCTTCTCTTGAAGAAGATGATATGTTTACAGCTGACTAGTTCTGTGGTTCAGTTCTGTATGGCCTAGGTAGTCTGACAGTCTACCTTTATTTTAGTCATATTGTCTCTAATCCTTTAGTACCAGCTGGCACTGTTTCTGCTTGTATATTGCTATCTTTACTTCTGCCTTTTATTGAAATGGCTGGCTAAGTCTGTGGTTTACATACATACTGATCTCCATATCAAATGGTCACTTGACTACACCCTCAGTATTCTTTTCTAAACACTTTTCCTCATTTTTGCTACAAAGAATAGACTGATAATCTTCCAAATATTTGAATTCTGATTACTTTTGCTTAATAGTTCTATCTTCAAGTTTTTTTCTTGCATTTTACATTTTATTGTAAATAGAAGCAAGCTGTACCCTTCAACACTTCACCTAAAAATATCCTCAGCTGAATATACAGTTTTATTGCATACATGTTCTACCTTCCACAAAACACTAGAACATGAATACAATTCAGGTAAATTCTTTGCTGGCTTTAAATAAGGATTGCTTTTCTTCCAGCCTCCAATAGCATGTTCCTTGTTTTCATCTGAGACTGCATCAGAATGGCCTTTTCCATTCATGTCCTACCAACATGATTCTGTTCATGATTACATGGACAGAATGTAATCTGTCCATGTTCTCTAAGAGGATAGAAGCGCTCCTCAATTTCTTTCTTAGAATTGCCTTTAAAATTCCCTTCTTGGCAATCTATAATTTTTCCTACCACATACTTCAACATTCTCCCACCTCTATCCATTACCTAGTTTCAAAACACTTACACATTGTTAGGTATTTATTACATCAGCACTTCCACTTTTTATGCCAATTTCTTTATTAGCAAATTTGGACTACTATAACATAGTACATAGAAGTAAATAGAAATTTATCTTGCATACTTCTGGAGGCTAGAAGTTTGAGATTAGAATGCCAGTATGATCTGGCTCTTGCATGCTGGAGCTGCTGACTTCTTGTTGTTATTTCACGTGGTGGAAAGAGGGTAAGAGAGCTCTCTGTGGTCCTTTTATAAGGGTACTAATCCCATTCATGATAGTTCCACCCTCATGGCCTAATCGCCTCCCCGAGTTCCCACTTCCTAATACATTACACTGGGAGTTAGGGTTTCAATGGTGGGGAAAGCACAGACATTCGTTTTGTTACAATGTTTTTTGAGCAGTGAGCATAGATATTCAAAATGGCCAATCATATGTTGGTTAAATTTCAAAGTATGTAAATATTAGAATAGAAGTCTTATGAGAAAAGTGAATAGTATAACATTTCTAGTTAGACATTTTCCTCATTAAGCACAGAAATCATTAGCTTGGTGGTGCAATTATAGTTTTGCATAACTATATTACTAAAGCCCATGATAAGTTGCAACAATAAGATTTTCTTAGCAAATAGCTTGTGATTTAAATTCAAAACCAAGTTACAAATTAGTGAATGTCAACCGTGAGGTGAACTGTTATAAAATTCGTATGTTTTTCCATTTCCAGGCTCAGGTCACAGGAAGCACATTGAATGGTAGAAAGGAAAAACTTCAGGCTGAGGAAGGTGATAAAGAAAAATGGGATTTTCTGCAATTTGCTGAAGCATGGACTCCCAATGACAGTTCTGAAGAGCTCAGGAAGGAAGTTCTATTTACTCATGTAAGATGATAATGACATTTAATATTTTGAAACTATACTTTTATCACCTCAATTATTCATGCCCTTGAAAGGAAAGCTGGAAAACCTTGTAGAATCAAAGACTATATTGAAAGAATGAGCCTACTAAAGTGGCTTATATGTTCCAAGAGTTTCAGCACTCACTGTTTAGCCCCTTTGATCAACAAACTGGGTAGAATCCAACCTTCAGAGGAAAATATTGGAGTTTATCTTTAGGACCCTGAAAGTAGAAGATAGTTTGCCTCAAAATGCACAAATAATAATGTTTTAAAATTGAGATATTTAACAATACTGAAATCAAAATCATTTGTTATATAAATGTCCTGTACATAAATCACAGACTCAGTAAAGATAGTTGCAGCACAGTGTCCAAAGGATATAAAGGTTATAAAGAATTTATACAATTCAATATACACAAGTATGCCAACAGAAAATAGGCAAACATGTATCTGAGCAGACCTGAGTTGCCAAAAATGTTAGAAGTTCTGCCTTACTAAAAGAAGTCAACTTGTAAAGACAACTTTAACAAAGAATCTGTGGTGTGGTACTTTCAGATCATGTGACTATCTTGTTCCCAAAACTTCACTCAACAATTTTAGCATTTACTGATGATTTTCATTTTTGAAATGGTAGTTTTCCTAATTCCATCATCCCTTCATATTTATTAGCTGGCATTTTTCTGTAAAGAACTTGATTTCCCCCTTTCGACAAAAAAGATCACTATGAAGTTATTTTTAAATATCATAGCATATAAGAATATTCATATTTATGAGTATGAATGTATGTAATAAAACATACATAGATTAGAAGAATATATGTGAAATTTATAAAATTGGTTACCTCTAGAAAAGGAGACTAGATCTAGGAGTAAAAATGTGTTAACAGCTTCAACAGAAATGTTTTATTTTTTCTTATTTTAAGAGAGGGTTAGAAATAACATTAGTATTTGTAATTTTGAATGGTAGGTATATGGATGTTTGTGATATTCACTGTACAATTATATATTTTATCCCACAATCCCACCCCTGAAAAATGCTGTTTGGAGGCTATACATAGACTCAATAGGAAATAATGTACTAGGAACGTTTATAATTTATCCTGTCTGTTACATCCAACCTCTTTGAGGCAACACGGTGTGAGAGTTATGTAGAGTTTTATTTTAATTTTCCAAAGAGTTGATCAGAAATTATAGAAACAGAATTTAAAGTTTTATACTTTTTTTTTTTGGTGGGTTTGAACTTATGCTTGCTAGGCAAGCATCTCTACCACTTGAGCCACAACACCAGCCCTTTTTGCTTTAATTACTTTTTGAACAGGGTCTTGCTTTTATGCCCAGGCTGGACTGGACTGCAATCCTCCTATTTATTCTTCCCACGTAGCTAGTATGACAGGCACATGCCACTGCACCCAGCTTTTATTGATTGGGAGGGTGGGAGGTCAACAACTTTTTGCCCAGGCTGACCTCGAACCGTGATCCTCTCCGTCTCCACTAGGATTACAGATATGAGCTACTACATCCAGCCATTAAAACATTTTATGTGAAATCATACTAAATTTGTCATGGATCTTATTTGAAGAATTAATACGTTTTTCTTGAATACTAGAATGCCATTCTGCCAAATATTGCTAAAAAATGGAGATGATGATTTTTAAGAGTTTTTTAACTTAAAAACCTGCTTCATTTAGCAGTGTTTATTTTGTTTTACAAAAGTAAATCAATAGAGGGCTAGTGGAGTGGTTCAAGAGGTAGAGCACATGCCTAGCAAGCATGAGGCCCTGAGTTCAAACTCCAGTACTGCCAAAAAAAAAGTTCAATAGAAATCCTAGATCTTTAAATATATATGCATATATATGTGTACATAAATAAATTGTGATTGAAGCTGTTTTTTCTCTGAAATTCCCCAAATATCTAACCATATTTAAGAGTTCATTTCTAAGGTAGACTTTAAGATTTTGAAAAACATTCTCCCACTGTTTTAAATTAAAAGTTTTTCTCAAGGAAAATATGTATCTGCATACAAGGTCAAAGAAAAAAATCACCCTTACCAAATCTTACTTTCTTGAGTTACTTGTGTATCTTTCATAGTTAGTTTTATTTTCCTAAATATAATATAAAAATATAATTTTTATATTAGTTTGGTCTCTCCTGCCTTCTCATCTGGTACTCATTGCCTTTCAGAATTACATTATCTTTTCTTTCCCTTCTCTTTTAATCAGAATCCTATTTCTGCCTCATAACTCAGCTAACTGTCAGTATTGGAAGAAAAATTTCTTAGCACCAAAGCTGGGACTCCATTAGTATATACCAATATAAATGTGTTGGTATAAGTTGTTAAAATATTGAAACATTTTGGTAATGGTTGGGAAATAGCCATCCTTAATACCTTCATTATACTTCTTCACAGGCCTTTGTCCTGTGAGGATCAGATCCCCATGATCTAGCTAGAAGTACATGGACTGTAGGACTCTGTAGGCTCTGTAGAGCCTGTAGGACTCTGTTTCAACCCAAGATTAGTAGATACCCCTACTAACACCTATTTATTAGCTCCGATGAAACTCAAATGAAAAGAAAAAATGCTGCCAGCATGAGGAAAGATACTTTTGCACAGCCCCACTGGCTGTCCCTTAAGTAAGCAATCCTCCCTGGGAGTCAGTGTATCACCAAGGTCACTGCTTCAGTCAATTCCATTTCCACTATTTCTTCCTTTAATCTTTGTCTGAATGTGTCTGACACCTAAGTGCTCATTTAGTTTTGAGGGATCTTGATTTTCTTGCCATAGTTTCCATTAAATGATAACATTGGTCACCTCCAGATGGAAAGAGAGAAAGGTATGGATAACATTAGTGTATATTTTCATTTCCAAGTGACATTAGGCTGTTTCTGAGTCAAGTTCTGAGTGAGTATGCAAATAGGGAGCCTCTCCCTGTCTGGTTTTCCTTTTGCTGTCATCATCTAAGGCCTATCTCTTTCTGTTACTCTAGAAATTTAGGCCTTTCCCTTTATGTCTTTAAGGACTTTCCTATCTTCATTTGTCCCTTTCTCCATAAATAAATAATCAGCAACATCATTTATCCAGCCATTTGTCTCTCTTGATTACTAGAGAGCCCCTAAGGTTCCTTTTATCCATTGCACATGAACTGTAAAGCATCGAAAGGAAAGTGGAGTATAAGTGATTAGTGTATAAGCCAAAGAAAAGACTGTTGTGCCGAGCATGGTAGTACATCCCTGTAATTCCAGCACTTGGAAGGCTGAGGCAGGAGGATCAAGAGTTCAAGGCCAGCCTGGGCTACATAGTGAGAGCCTGTCTTGAAAAAAAGAAGAGGGGAGGGGAAGGAAAGAGAGGAGGGGAGGGGAAGGGAGAGGAAAGAAGAAAAGAAAAAAGTAGTAAAGGACTCTTAATTTACTGTAGGTAATGAGTCTGCTCCTGCTTAGGACATGTCTTATTTCTGCTTGCTTTCTCTTCTTCTAAGCTATAGGTCAGAGCTGCTTCCATTTTGTTACATTGTATGGTAGTTATCATTTCATTTTGGAAGATATCTCTGGGGAGTTCCCAAATTCAGCCAGAACAGCTACTCCTGGTCCTTTCTTGGTCACTCTTGCTTCAGCCACCCTGCAGTCTCTGCTGTCCCTTGCCTCTTGTGTTCATCTTGTGTACCCCTAATCAGTATTCCCAGTTTTCCTTCCTCCTCATTAGCTTCTCCCTGACTGCCTGTGTTCCTTACCTGCCTCTCTCTCTGCAGTTTTGGCCCATCTCGTGCCTCTGCCTTTTCTCCATCACAGCTATCCTCAAGTCACATGGGTGTCCTTAAGGGCTTAAGGACCATATATATATATATATATATATATATATATATTATATATATATATGAGATGGTAGCTGGTCTGTTACAAAAACCTGTATGTAGTTGGGAAGAAAACCTTGTCAGTGTAACAACTGAAAATTTTTAATTTGCCCTCAAATGTTTTTTGGTTTTTTTTTTATTTTGAGTGGGACTGGGTTTGACCTGAGGGCTTACTACTTGCAAAGCAGGCACTCTACTGATTGAGCCACACTTCCAGTCCATTTTGTTCTGGTTATTTTGGAGAAGGGAGTCCCATGAACTATTTGACCATACTGGCCTTAAGCTGTGATCCTCCTGATCTCAGCCTCCCAAGTAGTTAGGATTACAGGTGTGAGCCACTGGCACCCTGCTTAAAAAATTTTAAAAAGGTATTTTTATTAATTGCCCACATTGTGTGTAGTGTTTGCCTTATGGACTAAAAAGTTCAGACAAAAAAGTTGTCTTATACATACAAAAATAATTTTTCTCCCATCAGTCTAGTTGTCTAGTTGAATAAATGGTAAGGCAAAAAGAAAGCTGCCTTTAGGAACAGTGGTATTCATGAAGTCTAAATCTCTCTTGTCCAAAATTTTGTTCCTGCATATGCTAAAGCACAGGTTTCTTGGGGCCACTTCATCTTAAATTAGAATATTTATTCATATGTATTTTTTTAAATCAAACTATTCTATAAATATTATGTAATCACCTACTAGCCTAACAATAATGACAAGGCTAGCCTCATTGCTGTTGATAGAGACCTAAATATCTGATAGTCATAGCTTATGTTACATGTGTTATTATTAGGCATTTGTCCTATTTACCTTTATGACTTCAATAATAATAATAATTAACATGAATTGAACAGTTATTCCATGTAGCCATTGTGCTAGGCCCTTTATATGAATGAGTTAGTCAGCTTTCTATTGCTTTGACAAAATGTCTGAGAGAAATCAACCTAAAGGAGGAAAGATTTATAAATTTTGGCTCATAGTTTCAGAGGCTTCTGTTCACGGTCACTTAGCTGTATTGTTTCTGGGCCTGTGATGAGGCAGGATAGTGATAATGGGAGTATGTGTAGAGCAAAGCTCTTCATGGCAGCCACAAAGCAGAGTAGAGAGAGGGGAAGGGGCAGGAGTTCCAGTATCCCCTTCACAGGCACG